GATGAGCAAGAAAGGTATTCTGCCCCTGAAATATGCCATTGAACATGGTACTGTCACCACTAGAATAACATGGAAAAGATCTGGAACCATGCTTTCTAGAAGCAGCTAGGAGGTACAGTGGATAGAACACTGGACCTGAACTCAGGAACACCTGAGTTCAAATCCAGCCTCAACACTTGCTAGCTGTATGACCCTGTGCAAGTCACTTAACCTCTGTCTTCCTCAGGCTCTTCAGCTATACAATGGGGATAATAATAGCACCTACCTCAAAGGGTTATTGTAAGGATCAAATGAGATAATATTTGTTAAGCATTTTAGCACAGTACCTGGCACATTAAAAATGCCAATGCAGTATTGTCTAGTGGTAATACCACATAACCCAGACTTTGCTTAAAGTAGGCAAAAGGATACGAAATCTCTAACCTCCAGATCATTGCCTGCCTCAGCTTGTCTGCCTGGATTAGAGGTTCTATCCTGGCCTCCCTGTATACCTTTTAGCAAATGTGAATCAGTGAGTAGGTGTATGATAAATCTGAGTCATCCAATGTCTGCCACAAATGCTTCTAAATGGACAGCTGCATTTTATTGGGTTTTTTTGTCAAAGGGTATGACATGATAATTGCTTCCCACCAAAAGATATGAGATTGGCATGGCTTTATTTGACTCCAGGATTAAAAGCTGGAATCAAGAAGGTGAAGAATATTCCCAGTATGTTGGAGGCAAATATCCCCAAAGTCTAACAGAGTGTCTTCAGGACACACACACACACACACACACACACACACACACACACACACACACATATACATATATATACATATATATATCATATATATATAATTATAAATATTCCATAATGTATTACTATAAGAAGAAAGCTGCCCTGCTTTACAAACAGAGTCAGCTGTATTGCACAGTGGATAGAGTGTTTGACTTGAAATCACCAAGACTTGAATTCAAATCCTGCCTCAGACAACTTACTTAGTTGTGTAAGCCTGGGTAAGGCACTTAACCTCTGTTTCCCTCAGTTTCTTTATCTATAAAATGGGTGTAATAACAGTACCTAACTGTGTTGTTGTGAGGCTCAAATTAGATAACATATATAAAGTGTTTTGTAAACTTTAAAGCACAATAAAAATTCTAGTTATTGTTGTTAAATCCAGACAAGGTGAGGAGGGGGAGGTAGTAGTATTAATTACTTATAAATTATGTAATCCTGCAAAAACCAGTTTTGTACCTTCATCTTACTGCTTGTTCCTTTTTTTCTCATTGTCAGAGTCATAATGGCCCCCTTCCTTTCCCCCCAATAGAAATGTGAATGAAAATCTCCCTAGGAATTCAAAAAGATTGATATCAGTGCTTGGAGGAGGTGAGAAGCTTTAACTGTACACTGACTTAAGACTAATTCAAACAAAAGTATACATGCAAAAGGAAGAAAAAGGATGAAGTGTGCAGAAGGCAGAAGCAAAGCTGGGTGACAGAGGGTGAATTTTAAGATTGTGGCACCATCCTGTAGAAATAGTGGGAGAAGTGCCAAAATTCACAATGAAATACAGCTGGAGGGCGAAGTCTAGGACAACAAAAAGGGGGTTGTTGTTTTTTTTAGCTATAGTGGGAGAAAAAGGAAAATTAAACAAGGGATAGGAGCTTTGCTTGGGGTGGGTGAATAATGATAACTGACAATAAAGAGAAAGTAAAGCTGCTCAAATCTTATTTTGCTTCTGTTTTCCCTGTCAAGGACAACGACCTTAGTCCCAGAAATGACAGAACAAAAATGACTCACAGGGAGTTGAAAAACAAGATAAGTAAAGCAATCGTAAAAGGACATCAAGTTGCCTATGATGAATTCAAGTCATTTGTCTTAGAAGAATTGTACTCTCAAGTAACCCCCCCCCAAAGAAAAAAACAACTCAACCCTGGCAGATGTGATTTACTAAGCCATGGTAAACAGGGGAGTTACCATAATATTGAAGAATATTGGGAATGTCCTAATTCTTTCCAAAAAGGGAAGAGAAGAGTCTGCAAATCATAAGCCAGTGAGCCTAACTTCATTTCTTTTTTTTCCAATTTTATTAATTTATTGATTTATCAACAATCACTTCCATATGCTTTTGAGTTGAAAGTTTTTCTCCCCCTTATTCCCTACCACCCTCCCCAAGATGGCACACAATCTGATATAGGTTTTATATTTACATTCCTATTAAACATATTTTCACATTAGTGAAGTTGTAAGTAAAAATTAAAACCAATAGGAGGAACCATCAGAAAGATGAAACAAAACTCAACAGAAGGTAAAAATAAATGAGAGTGATTCGACTTCCATAGTTCTTTCTTTGGATGTGGATAGCATTTTCCATCCCAAGGCCTCTGGAGATGTCTTAGATCCTTGTAATGCTGAGAAGGGTTCAGTTTAACAATATTAGTCATTGCATAACATGGCTGTTATTGTGTACAAAGTCCTCTTGGTTCTGCTCACTTCACTCAGCATCAGACCATATAGGTCTTTCCAGGTTTTTCTGAAGTCAGCCTGTTCATCATTTCTTATAGCACAAGAGTATTCCATTACATTCATATACCACAACTTGCTCAGCCATTCCCCAATTGATGGGCATCCTCTCAATTTCCAATTCTTTGTCAACACAAAAAGAGCTGCTATGAATATTTTTGTACATGTGGGTCCTTTTCCCATTTGTTTGATCTCTTTGGGATATAGCCCTAGAAGTGCTATTGCGTATGCACATTTTTGTAGCCCTTTGGGCATAGTTCCAAATTGTTCTCCAAAATGGTTAGATCATTTCACAACTCCACCAACAATGTATTAGTGTTCCAATTTTCCCACATCCTCTCCAACATTTATCATTTTCCTGTTTTGTCATGGAGCCTAACTTCATTTCTCAAGAAAATTATAGAACAGATCATTAAATAAACAGGTGGTGAACATCTAGAAAGGGAAGAAAGGAATTACAAAGAACCAGCCTGCCTTATTCAAGGACAGCTCACAGGGGGCAGCTAGGTGGCGTAGTGGATAGAGCACCGGCCCTGGATTCAGGAGGACCTGAGTTCAAATGCGGCCTCAGACACATAACACTTACTCGCTGTGTGACCCTGGGCAAGTCACTTAACCCCATTGCCTAGCAAAAAAAAAAAACCAAAGACAGGTCATGCCAGATTAACCTCATTTCCTTTTTTTGACAGGATTACTAAACTAATAAAAGAGAAGAATGTTGTGGAGATAGTTTGCCTACATTTTAGCTTTTAATAAAGTAACTCATGGGGGCAGCTAGGTGGCGCAGTGGATAGAGCTCTGGCCTTGGAGTCAGGAGGACCTGAGTTCAAATCTGGCCTCAGACATTTGACACTTAACTAGCTGTGCGACCTTGTGCAAGTCAATTAACCCTGAATGCCTCACCTAAATAAATAAATAAATATTTGAAAAATAAAGTGACTCTTACTATTCTTGTGGAAAAGAAGGAAAATGTAGATTAAATGATAATACAACTAAATGGAGTCAGAACTAGTTGGCTAGAAAGGTTCTAAAGAGGAAATGGCTCAGTGCCAATAGGACTGGAGGTCACCAATGGAAGATCCCAGGGATTCGTGTTTTGCCTTGAGCTGTTTAGCATTTTTATCAATGACTTGGACAGAGGTATAGGTGGCATACTCATCAAATTTACAGATGATACAAAGCAGGGATAGAAAGCTAATACTGTCAAGATCCAATACTCCAAAAAAAAACTTGACAAGCTAAACCACTGGGATGGATCTTAATTAGATGGAATTCAACAGGAATAAATATTAAGTGTTATAAGTGGGAATAAAAATCAGTTTCACAAGTACAACATGGCTAGGCAACAGTTGTTCTGGAAAAGATCTGGGGGTTTTAGTGGACTGCAAGTTCAATATAAGTCAGCACCTTGATGTGGCATCCAAGAAAGCTAAAGGGACCTTGGGCTGCAGCATTAAGGTAGACACAACTTTTAGGAAGACAGCACTGTATCTCACCCTCCCTCTGTGGTCATTTGTAAAGTGTTATACAAATACGAACTCATTATTATAGTGAACTGTGCATATATTTGTGGGAAATGATGTTTTAGATGCTAGACCAATTTTAGTGTATTCAAACCAACCCCAGTTTAATACTGGGAAAAGAAAAATCTCATTAAGCATCAAATCTGCTGAATTTTATGCCTTCCCATGAATGAGAGACAGCCCAATCCACTGGAAAAAGCACTAGATTTGGCCTCAATCTATCTTTCAATCCTGATTCTCCTGCTCCCTATCTATATAACCCTGGACTCTCTTGACCTCAGTTTGCTCATCTGTAAAATGAATGAGGTTGAACTGGATGATCTCTAAGGATTCTTCCATCCTAATCAATCAATAAACACTTATTAAGTGTCAGCTACATACCAGACACTCTGCTGAGCACTGAGAATAGAGGGGAAAAAAAGGAAAAAACAGTTTCTGCCCTCAAGGAGCTTACAATCTAATGGGGGAGACAACAATCAACCAGTTAAACATTTATTAAGTGCCCACCTCGTACCAGGCACTGTGCTAAGTGAAAAAGAGGCAAAAGACAATTCCCACCTTCAAGGAGGTTACATTCCAATAGAGAAGACAACAAGCAAACAAATACATACAAACAAGCTCTATATAGGATAAACCGGAAATAATTAACAGCAGGAAAGTACTAGAGTTAAGAGGGATTGGGGTAGGCTTCCTATAAAAGATGGGATTTAAGTCAGGACTTAAAGGAAGCCAGGGAGGTCAGTAGAGGGACAGCCTTCCAGGCATGGGGGATAGCCAGAGAGAATGCCAGAAGCCAAAAGGTACAGTGTCTCCTTCATCTCTAAATCTACCATCCCTGTGAATTCCACCTGTCAGAATAGGGTATTAGAGAGCAACAGTGACCCCATAGGTCAGACGTCCTGACTTCAGGACAGGCAGGGGAGAAATCAAGGAAACCCTCCAGCAAGCACGCCCCCCCCCCAAGTCTGTACCTGTATTTCCTGGACGCTCTCTTCTTCTTTGGCATCCACTTTCTTCTCAATCCCTTCACCTCGTAACAAGGCTTCCAGTGTGGTGCTTTCTGATGTGAACCCATCTTTCTTCAGGGGCAGGTCCACTTCTGAAAAGCAAGAAAAACCAGAAATAGATGTTGGACTTTGGTGATACCTGCGGAGTGTTAAAGGAACCTTAACTTAAAAAGGAAAAGAGGGGAAAGTCTCTAGGGTAGCAGTAGTTTTCTCCAAGCAGAGCTGGGTGGGAATTTTGTTATTCATTCATTTGAGTTGAACATGGCTTTTCATGACCCCATTCGGGTCTTCTTGGCTGAGAAACTGGAATGGTTTGCCATTTCCTTCTCTAGCTCATTTTACAGATGAGGAAATTGAGGAAAACAGGGTTAAGTGACTTGCCCAACATCACACAGCTATTACCTGTCTAAGGCTGGATTTGAACTGAGGAAGATGAGTCTTCCTGAGTCCAGACTTGGCATTCTATCCACTGTGCCACCTAGCTACCCCTCAGATGGGAATAGTAAGAGACCAAACATAGCCAGAATCAAAGATTTAGAGCCAGAAGGAATCTTAGATGTCATTTAGCTCCATTCCACCCCTTATTTGAAAGATAAGGAAAATGAGGGCCTAGCAAAGAAAAAATGACTTGCCCAAAGTCTCACACTGATAATAAATAGCAGAGCCAAGTTTTGAACCATGATTCTGATTCCTTTTACTGCACCACATCCTTTCTGTACTATCCAGGGATTCCTGACCTAGGGTACACATATGCCCCCAAAGGATATAAGAAGATTGTTAAATAATATGACCATTTGTAAATAACTATATTTGAAATTAAGTAATTTATTTCTTATGTGCATATGAATAGCAAACTCTAGGATTTATTTTCTTTCATTTTGAATAGAGGGTACACAAAGGTTTCCTTAGATCTATTAGCTATGGGGACTGAAAAAAGGTTGGAACCCCTGCTTTAGACTTTCTCCAGATTCTCCATGTCTCTGTTTTAAGGTCCCAAATTAAACATGGTAACCTAAGGTCACATTAATGACAAGAATAAAGGGAAGTTGAGGTCACGGTTGATGTTGACCATATTTTTATTTATACTTGCCAGCATGATATAATTTTGGTGATGGCAATGTCACATTGCAGAGCCCTCCATGGTTGTCAGCCTACTAAGACCACCACACCCCAAGCCTGAACCTCTTACATCTTGCTTATCTCAAGTCAACCCAGTAGACTAGTAACTAAACATTGTGACCACAATGGGGCATGAATTTAAGAAACAGGAGGTACAAAAGGATGAAAACACAAAAAAGCAAAATGAACCCATGCCATTGTAGCCCAGCTGATCAAAGCACAAAAGAAATATCAATAATCATGGTTATAACAACATCTAATGAGATTTATACAGCATCCAAAGGGCATTATTCTAGGTGACCTACAAAACCCCATGGGTTTCCAACATTGCTGATAAACAGCATTAGAGGTCAGAATTAAAAGCAACTGATCCCTGGGGCAGCTAGGTGGCGCAGAGGATAGAGCTCCAGCCTTGGAGTCAGGAGGACCTGAGTTCAAATCTGGCCTCAGACACTTGACACTTAACTAGCTGTGTGACCCTGGGCAAGTCACTTAACCTCAATTGCCTCACCAAAAAAAAAATAATAATAAAAAAAATAAAAGCAACTGATCGCCCTCTAATTTCTGCCCACAGGAGGAAGAAGAGGGAAGGTGCTAGAGTTAAGAGGGATTGGGGTAGGCTTCCTATAAAAGATGGGATTTTAGTTAGGAGTTAAAGGAAGCCAGGGAGGTCAGTAGAGGGAGAGCTCCTGACAAAAGTAAATACCAAGGCTGAGGGGAACAAAAAGGTATTAGAGCCAAGAAGGGAAAAACAGGTCTGAGATCTTGCAGGATCTAAGTCCTGGTTAAAGACTCGTAAGGTGAAGCTAAGCTCTAAGTCTTTTTATGTGTCTCTTTTTTATGTCCTCATGTGAATGAAAGGATTAACTAATGCTTGAAGCTTACACATTTTCAATTTAACACAAATCCACCACACCAGGTGGATGGTGGAGTAGATGGAGCACTGGACTAGGAGGCAGAAATCCTGGATTCTAATCTGGGCTCATTACCCTCTCTGATCCTCAGCTGCCTCACCTGTCAAATTGTGGAGTATTAAGAATATATTTATATACACGTATATAAAATGTTCCTTATATAAAATGTTTGCATTTTTAAATATATTTTATATCATACAAAGTATTATAATATATCTAGAATTAAGTCTCTTCTGTGGCAGGCACTGTGCTAGGCATTAAGGATACAAGTTCAAAGAATTAAACAATCTCTACTCATGAAGAGTTTTGATGGGAGAAACAAGTACTTATAAATATGTGTCTGTGTCTGTGTGTGTGTATGTGTACTAAGGATGAATACAAAGTGAAAGGGAAGGAAGGAAATAATATTTACTAAGTACCTGTGATGTGCTTAATAACTGTGCTAAGCATTTTACAAATATTATCTCATTTGATGCTCACAACACCCCTGGGAGGTAGATGCTACTATTATCCCCATTTTACAATTGAGGAAACTGAGGCAAACATGGGGTAAGTAACTTGCCCAGGGTCACACAGCTAGTACATATCAGAGGCCAAATTTTAACTCAGATCTTCCTGACTCCAGGCCCAGCACTCTATTTATACATAAAAAAATAGTTCAACACAGGGTAGGTTGGGAGGGAGAGAGCTAGTAATCGGGAGAATTGGAAAAGGTGTCATGTTGAAGGTGGTATTTGAGCTGCATCTTAAAGGAAGAGAGACACTCTTCGAAGAGGCAGTAAGGAGGTGAATTCCAGATGAAGGGAATGGTCAACAGCAAAGACACAAAGAAAGGAGATGGAGTATTCTGTAGGAGGAATAGAGAGGCCAGTTTGGCATGATCACAAAGTGTAGGAGGGAGGGAGTGATGTCTAATGAGGCTGGAGAGATAGGCTGGAGCCAAATTTTATTGGGCTTTAAAAGCTAAGCAGAGGAGATTTAGTTTATGCTAGAGGCAAAAGGAAGCTGCTAGAGTTGGTTGAACAGCAGAGCCACGTGTTCCTGTCTGTGTTTAGGGAAAATTACTTTGGCAGCAATGGGTAAGATGAACTGGAGTGGGGAGAGACTTGAGCAGAGAGATCAATTAGGAAGCTGTTGCAATAATCTAGGAGACTGGTGATGAGGGCCTGAACTAAAGCTGGGGGGGGGGAGGATGTCTGATGCATGAGATGTTATAAAGATAGAAACACAAGATTTGGCAACTTTATTAGACACATGGGTAAAGGAGAGTATGGAGTCAAGGTAATTCTCTTTTTGTTTTTGTTGACTCGTTTCAGTGGGGCCCAAGTCTTTGTGACTCCATTTAGGGTTTTCTTGGGAAAGATACTGGAGTGTTTTTGCCATCTCTTTCTCCAGCTCATCTTACAAATGAGGAAACTGAGGCAAATACTGAGGTTACAAAACTGGAAATATGGTGGAGCCTTTGACAGAAATGGGAGGGTTTTGAAAAGAGGAGGGTTTATTGGAAAAGAAGAAGAGTTTGGACATGTTAAGTTTAAGCTGTCTTTGGAACAACCAGTTTAAATGTCCACTAGGCAATTGGTGATCTGAGACTGAAGGTCAGGTGAAAAACTGAAACTAAATATGTAGATGTGGCAATCATTGCCATAGAGAGAAGAGTGTTAAACCCATGGGAGCTGATGAGGTAAACTTCTCCTGATCTCATTTTTCAACCCATTCTTGGTTCCTTTTCTCTTTAAAAGACTTTGTAGCCATTTTGGTTCCTCCCCATTTTCAGAGCTGAGCCAGGGGTATAGTCACTGAGCCCTACTTCTAAGCCATCACCAGTCATCTTGACTTTAGTCTTACCACTGGACTTTGATGGCTCTGAAGTAAAGAGGAAACCTGACAACTTTGTGCAGCTCTGCCTTGCTTAAACTCAATCCATGAGCAAGTCAAGACGTCAAGACGTCATCACCCTCATGATGTCATTGGTCCTCTTCAAGAATGAAGGACAAACAACAACAGCTCCAAGGTTCAAAATAATGAGTCCTCTATCTTGCCTATCAATCCCCTACCCCTGGGGCATGTGTTCACTCCCAAGTCAGTGTTTACCCAAAACTCCTTAAATATGTGTAACATCACCAAATGATACCTCCACATAATGGTCATCAACTGATAGGGAAAGGGGGTTGGATGACAAGGCCCCTTCCAGTTTTGATATTTCTGTGATTCTGTGACATTTGGAGACTCCATTGGAAGCTTAGATCTTTTTGTTTTAAGTTGTTCCTGAAAGCATCCATAGTGAACATACATGTGTGCACATACACATATGTTATTTCAAGATTACCCTACTAATACATGTACATTTAAAATAGTATATATGATAAATAAATAGGTATGAGAGGCAGTGCATCAAAATGGATCCAGAAGTGATCTGAAAGCCAGAAAGACCTGGACTTGGGTCTTTCCTCTAATGAATACAGACAGCATAAGATCAAGAGGCCTTTCAGTGCCTCAATTAACTAAGACCATAAGTTATGAAGAAGGTGCCAACCTGAGCTAGTAAAGAGAATTTCCTCACCTGGGAATATCCTTTCCTAATGAAATCACAAGTCCAGTCCTTATGTATATTACATGTATGTGTGTATAGATGGGCTTGTTGTTCAGTCATTTCAGTCATGTTCAACATTTCATGACCACATTTGGAGTTTTCTTGGCAAAGATCCTGGAGTGGATTGCCATTTCCTTCTTCAGGTCATTTTACAGATGAGGAAACTGAAGCAAACAGGTTAAGTGACTTGCCCAGGGTCACAAAGCTAGTAAGAGTCTGAGGCCAGATTTGAACTCAGGATCATGAGTCTTCCTGACTCTAGATCTGGCACTTAATCCACTGCACCACCTAGCTGCTCATGGATGGATAGATGAAAGAAAGGAAAAAAAAAGAAAGAAAAAAGAAAGGAAGGAAGGAAGGAAAGAAGGAATGTTGTTTATGTAGCTATACAGACAAATACAAGTACACACATACACATTTAAGCTATACATTTAGATTACATATACATACATATATACATGTATTC